ACTTGTATCGCTGAAGTTTTTCGGAAATAATTTTTACGGGAAATTAACAAACGACCAGAGACGTAACAATATTTTTGAGGTTCACGAAACTGTATAGTATTGAACAACGTTTCATTGATCACGTTTGTTTTTTGATTCGGTTTTTGAAATTTAGCATTATATATTTTAATCCAGTGTAATTTGTATTATTTTCAATTTCCCTTTACTTATAGTTTCGTTTTTTTATCTTATTTGCAGGTGAAGGTGGGGAGTTTGTTGGATGGCAAGGTAGGCCTCACTCCTGTTTTGACGCCCTCCTCAACCCTACTATTTCGTAGATGTTACTTTACTGTTATTTGTCAGTGTTGTTTAGTTTGCCTTACTGTATTATTCACTGAGTGTAGCCTAATAACGTGTAACATAACATTAATTATACTTATATATATATATATTGTGGATGTTACCTTACTGTTATTTGTCAGTGTTGTTTAATTTGCCTTACTGTATTATTCCACTGAGTGTAGCCTAATAACGTGTAACATAACATTAATTATACTTTTCATGCTCATTGTTCTACGTAATTGCATGATGATGCTGAATTTTGTTTAAAGTCTAAGACGAAGAGAATACGCGAGGTTTAAGATTATCCGGATTGTGTAAATCAAACCCTTATCGTTTGAATGTTATACCTGACAGTTTTAACGAAAACAGTGTTTTGGTTATTAGTAACTTCTGATCAAAACAAGCTAAATACGTGAATAAGAACTGAAAATTAACCCAATAAATAATGTAGCTATCTTAACATAAAACAAAGTCTTACAATGTATTTATACAATTTAAATAATATCTCACAAGGGTAGGCCAGCTTAGGATTAGATTTTTTCTAAAATGCGTAAAAAATCTTCACAATATACACAAGGACCACAAATAAACATTCGTTCCACGAGTTTCCATATCTGGTTGCCAGGTAACGCCACACTGTAAAAAGACGTTCTGGCTAGAATATATCCTTCGCATTATCATTTACTCTGGGGCAGCTAAAGACGCTTCAGAAGGCTCTAGCTATTTGTTCACACATACATATTCCTAGCCAGTTTGATACGGTGCCTAAACCGAAGGGTTCAAATGATAGTATGTTTACCTTATATAATAAGATACAAAATAGCT